CTCTCTCTCTCTCTCTCTCTCTCTCTCTCTCTCTCTCTCTCTCTCTCTCTCTCTCTCTCTCTCTCTCTCTCTCTCTCTCGCTCGCTGTGTGTGACACGAACACAAATCAACAAACTTGGCATAAGCTGCTGGTCTGGAAAGAACGAAATTATCAGAAATAATGGCACGCACGCAAACAGGGCCGGGGGGCTCCGCAATGACGGGAGCTGAAGAAACCGGAGCTTAGGTCACCATGGCGGAAGACAGCTGGGTAAAGCATGTTCAGACGGATGTTGCAAAAGCATCTCAAAGGATGTGGAGTCCAGGGCAAAGAGGGTAGAAGAAGGAGGAGGAGGAGGGGGAGAAGGAGGAGGAAGAGGAGGAAGAGGAGGAAAAGAAAGGATAAGATCGCGGCTTACCTCTTTCGCGCGGTGTTCAGCGTCGCTTCGACCGAAAAGAAAAACGTCAACCCTCGGCGTCGTACCTTGCTGCTCCCTCTTCGGGCCTCGCCACACGTCAGCCAAAACGAAACGAAACGAACTTCTTTTTCGTGAGAGTTCGCGAGGGTGGAAGTTCGTGCTTTCTTCGTTTTCTGGTGCATCGCCACACCGAGCACACGAAAAAAAAAACGAGTGCGAAAAGAAAAAGGAATATTTGTCTGGAGCCCCTGTAATTTCCATAATTTTGCGTGGCGCCCCTCCGACGGCCCACTTACCCTCCCTTGCCCTTCAAACTTATGAACTTTCCTGCAAACCCCTGTCCGCAAGGGGCGGAGCTTTCCACGGTGCCCTTACTGGACGGCCAGTCTCATTTCACCGGTCCCTCTGCTATATCCCTTCATGAGCAGAATACATCTTTCCATCATGCCGAAGCACATGGTTTTTGTGGCGCTGCCGCAAAAAATGACCCTCTGTGTGTGTGTGTGTGTGTGTGAGAGAGAGAGAGAGAGAGAAATGAATTGGCCGTCATCCACGCGCATGTGTGTGTGTGTGTGTGTGTGTGTGTGTGTGTGTGTGTAGGAGAGAGCGAGAGAGAGAGAGAGAGAGAGAGATGAAGTGGCCATCATGCGCGCGCATGTGTGTGTGTGTGTGTGTGTGTGTGTGTGTGTGTGTGTGAGAGAGAGAGAGAGAGAGAGAGAGAGAGAGAGGAATGAAGTGGCTGCCGTGCGCATAGCCATAGAGGCGCACTGAAAACATGCACCCTACCGGTAGGGGCATATGGAAAAGTTTGGTACTGGTACTCAACAGCTATCCCGTAGGGGCATACTGCAAAGTTGGAATGAGTATCGCAAGGGGCATTACAAAAATTTCAGGCCCAGCCAACGCCGGGGATGTACTGGAAATTTGAATCGTGGTCAGAAGGGCACGACAGGGTAAGTGGGCTGTCGGAGGGGCGCGACGCAAAAGAATGGAAATTGCAGGGGCGGCAGACAAATTTTTCCAAGGAAAAAAAAAAAAAAAAAAAAAACAGTCACAGATGTCACAAATGACAGTGGACCGCCTTGAATGCATCCGCCAGGGTTCGTGAGTGTTGGGGGGTGGTTCCTGGGTCCTTGCAAGGACCCACGAAAATAGAGGCGCTGCAGGCTGGCGGCAGAAAACTTCTCACGAACTTCAGTTTCTTGACACCTTGTGACTTTTTTTTCACTGTCTAAACTTTTTCCTCACGTAACGCTGCCGCAAGAGGCCGCTGGCCACTGTTGGGAAACGCGGCGGGACTGGCAGGGCCCAGCAAATACCGCGTGTGTCTTTCAGGCCGCGAGCGAGCTTGCGTTGGGCGGCCCGATAGAGTTTTCGGAATCCATGCGAGGCGATTCCCGAAACTTCTATCGGGCCGTCCAACGTAAGTCCAGTCGGCGATCCTGACGGTTGTCTCTTATACACATCTAGATGTGTATAAGAGCTCTCTCTCTCTCTCTCTCTCTCTCTCTCTCTCTCTCTGTGTGTGTGTGTGTGTGTGTGTGTGTGTGCGTTAGTCAGGCGTGTCGGGAAGGACGCAACGATGACACACATAAGTCGAGAAATGCCGGCGGGCAGCAGATTAGCATCGCCCCTGCGCAAGTATGACACTCATGAATTAAGAAAATGGTTATTGCCATGCCATGTCGATTGATCGACGTGGCATTAACTCTCTCAGAAAAGAAAACGACCATTTAATGCGCCCGTCGATCGATCAACGTGGCACTAACCGCTTGATCGATGGTCGCATGGTCTCTCTCTCTCTCTCTCTCTCTCTCTCTCTCTCTCTCTCTCTCTCTCTCTCTCTCTCTCTCTCTCTCTCTCTCTCTCTCTCTCTCTCT